TGGAAGTCTTGATCATCATGCTCCGTAACATTGCAATTTCTTCAGTGATATCATCCAAAATGTATTCCTCTTCATCAGATAAATCAGAAAAGAGAATACTTCCTCTTCATTATCAGAAAAATCCTCATCACTAAATTTTATGTATCTTTTTGGCAGTTGGGGTTCTTTGTTTCTTAAATGTTGTCATGTTACTCATCAAATCGTCCAGCTCAGACTCTTCATGGTCAGACATCTAATTCAAGAATAAAACACTACTATTATCCAGTTAATCAAATGCATGCAAGTGAACATTAATTTAATCGACTAAGATATATATATTAATTTTTTAAAAACCAGAAATTGGTGTGTAGGTTGTATTGTTACAAGCTATTCAATATGAACAAAAAAAAAATTAATTTTCTTTAAACATATTGAGAAAAAAAAATCGATGAGAACTCATTCGTATTTTTTTTTTCTCTTGCTTTACATGTACTGTATGATCATCAACAGCTGATCAAGTAGCAGGGATCTATATACGTCCCTGCAACTTGCAAAAAGTAAATAATTTTTAATCTAATAGTAAAGCGATACAAACAAAACAAAACAAAACAATGTTATTTAAGGTGACCTACCTCGCTCATGATGATTATTTCTGCGCCTTCGTCTTCTAACTTCAGAGTCGATTTGTTTCGAGATAATTCGGGTTGCAATCTGTAAAACGGAAGTAACATTCTATTAAATTGATTGTCGATCCCGATATATGTAGGTCGATCTTTTTTTTTTAAACTGTAAAATACTTACCGATAACAGTTTCCTAGAATCTTCTACAGTTTTCTCGCAATCAAAGATTCCTGTTCTTGTTATTTGCTAAATTTTACAAACGCTTTCCGTAAGTAACCTTCTTTTATTTTGTTTGGTTATTCCGTGATTTTCCAATGTAACACCTCCCTATGTACAGAGTATCAGTTGGCATATGTGTACCTGATCCCAGTTGTTGTTTTAACAATTTACTGACATGTTTTTTAAAGATATATTCGACGGTAGCTGGAGATCACTTGAATATTTTAAAATATCTATCATCAACCTGAGAAGATTAAATTTTGGACCCCCCCCCCCATCACCACACACACAAGAAAAAATAACTAATAAAAAAATGATAAAAAAATAAAAAGAAATAAAAATGAATATTGTAAAGATTTATTCTTCTTCGTCTGTTATGAAAAAAACCCCATCAAAGTATATCTTTATGACAATTTTTATTATAAAAATTAAAATTCGGATTTAGCTTGAAATATTACGTACTATGTGTAATTAGAATAATATGCTATATCACCATAATAAAATAATTTGTTTAGATCCCGAAAAAAATTAACTCAAGTCCCGAATCGTCTTCACCCAAGTCCCGAACCGTCTTGTTGCTAGTCCCGAACCGTCGTATTAGTCAGGTCCCGAAACGTCGTGGTCCCGAAACATCGTGCACCCCCGAGAACAACTGTAAACTAAGGTGTTTTCTCAGAGGCCAAGGGGAATCGCCTTACAAAATGATCTCAGTGAAATTTATTGATCTACACATTGATTTTGCATCTTAAAAAAAATTCGACGAATTAATACTAAAAGAACGCATTTTATTATTTTGAGAGACGTTTTTGGAGGAAAGTTTGTAATAGCTTTTGTATCGATCCCGTCGTGAACCTCAACAGTAGAGCATCTTCGAACCGGGGCTGCAGAAACTTGATATCCCACGCTATCAAAATCCCGCCCGCATGGTCATTTCAAATTCTGTTGCTTTGAAAGAAACATTGCCCTGCCGATTTCTACTTGTTTCTGACAACTTGGTTTTACTTGAAAGTGAAAATACTTCGATGAGGATTGCAGTTTGACTGTCGTGGGAGAAAAAGACAAAACGTTGACAATAAGGACGGAATTCGAAGTGAGATACCATCATTCATGGCCCCATCATCAATGGTAAGAATTTTTTAGATTTTCATACTCCAGCGAGGTTAACACTTTGAAATATATCATATAGTATTATCTATAAAAATTTAAGAAATGTGCTTTTAAAATCATTCTGTTAACATGGTTAATGATTAGATTACATGTAGCATGCGTGTTTGTTTACACATGGAGACCTGTCGAATTTGTAAACTACTGCTGTTGTATACCCCATGATTTTTTTTTAATTATCTTTCTATCGCATAATTATCATTTTTAGTATTTATCATTTCGAAAAAATATATACAAAACAAAAAATATACGAGGCATTTTCCACCTTTTTTTTTCTAAAAAGTCGGGTTCAAGATGAGGGAAATATAAAGTCGCATGGATCACAACATGGTATGTCACCGTATGATGGTATGAATTATAAATTTGCCACACGGCGCGGTGGCTGTCTTAAAAATTTTACTAGACAAAATAATTACAGTAATTTTAATCAAAAGCTGTCGTGATAACAAATAGAGTGCACTTTCTGATAAGCTGACCATGTTAACATGGTTAAGGTGATGTTTAATGGGTTGCTACAATGCATAGGTGGATCGGAAACTTTTCATACCCAATATATATATATATATATATATATATATATATATATATATATATATATATATATATATATATATATATATATTTCTATTCCTATCATCCAGATAATCAAGAAGCAGGCTTCCTGTGTCCAAATCCTCCTTCTTCAGAAAAACCAAGGGAGAATGACCAGGATATTTCACCCCCTGGAATATCTGAAGGGGTAAGATTTTCATGCCCCCAATTGAAGGATTGGGGATATATTGTGTTTGGTCTGTCTGTTTGTTTTCCTGTCAACCCATTATGTAATACAACAATTTTTTTTCTCTAATTGTAAATACTGATCTTGTTGGACATAATGCATGTGATTTCAGACCTACATTAAAGCATGGCTACAATTTTCCTTCAGGTTATGCCCTTTAGTGGTGTGGAGAAAAAGAAGAAAAAAAGTGAACCAAGAACTGAACAATGCCATCACAGAGCAAGTCTCATTGCAGGACAAAAATTTAAAAAGGAACATGGGAAAGAAAAATATGAGAATGCTAAGAAGAGCTCAGTGCACGATACAAGATAAGCTAATGTAAAACACACTTATTGCGAAGTACAATGAATGAACAATTTTGATTAGGCGTAGTTCATTGTATCCATTAAGTTCACAGCAATATTCTAAAATTTAAGGAAATGAAAATCACTATAACCATGAATTCATTATAAGCATCTCTGCTGTAATACAAAGTCATCAGAGATTGGTACACTGTATTTTCAAGATAATTTATAATTTTTGTATAATACAAATTTTGAATTTTCCTTAAATGGGAAGATTTATTAATGTAAAGTTTATTTGAATGACATTTTGTTGTCCATCAAAATGTTAAGAAAAACTGCCTTTGAATGTTATTTAAATTGATACTAAGATATGGATGTTTTGATAAAATAAATACTTAGTTTTCAAAACATGTAATGTATTTTGTATATATCATTGTGTACTGTACGCCTGGACTTTTTTACGCCTGGACATTTTTACGCCTGGACAGTACGATCTTTTACGCCTGGTCTATTGAAGAGGCGTAAAATTTGCATATTACGCCTCTTTTTACGCCTGGTTTCCGTCTCATTTGACGCCTGGTTTACTTATATGGTATTGAGTCAAAATCCGCCTGGTTTTTGCAGAGCATGACGCCTGGTTTACGTGTTATTACCAGGCGTACAATTTCGTACAGGCATACATAAGGCACTTTTTAAATAACATTACAATGTTTATATTTTGTGTTTATACAATAAATTGTATAACTGTATAAAATAGATTTCTCTTTTTCATGCCTGTCAAATCCCAGGGAGCTCGAGTATACTATATACAGCGTAGCACAAATTTAAAACCTTTTTTTTAATACAGTACATGTGTGGCAGTCAGGCAGAATCATTCCCTGCTCAGTTGGTAGAGAGCACCTGCCTAGAGTTCAGGGAGCTTGGGTTCAAATCCTGGTCTGGTTCATCACATTTTCTCTCTCTCTCTCTCTTACACATTTATCACCATGTGTCTCTACTGAATACATATAATACTATAAAATTAAATAATAAATATTATATTATTTACCTGCAGGGTCAAGCCAAATAAATTTTCAATCAGGCTGACAATTTTTAATGGAATTTTAAGTAATTCTGTGTTAAGTACGGAATATTTATGCTTATGAGCTTACATGTTGTTCCCCCAAGTTTTTTTTTCAGTGCTTTCAAGAAAGTTATTCCTTTGCCACTAAGTAGTAAATAATAATAAAATACAGTAAAACATGTTAATAATGAAGTCCTGGGATATGAATTTTCAGTTCCTAATAACCAAGTTTCTTTATTCAAGTACCCATACAAGAAGGAGTTATGATATATGTATAAGGGACAGGGAAAAGAAACAGAGATGTCCTTGTACCCAAGTTCCTTCTAAAGTTTTACTGTAAGTGATTAATACAATTAATTATGGAAGTAAAGTTGCAATTCTGGATGCCGAGTATAAAGATTTTATTTCTGCTGTGTATGAAGATGAAGTAACAATTTGTCATTTCCCTTTTTTTGTTTTATTCATAACACATTGGGTAAATACCTGTCATGTACAGCTAAATCCCAAAATCATATGACTGATAATATTTTTCATTTATAAAAAGTAAAATAGCAGTCAAAAGATAAAATTGACAAAAATTATATTAAACAGTAATCCCATGTCAAAGTACAATTGCCCCTGAAATCTCAATTGCTTTAGTCACTTCCCATTGCTGAAACATCCTCATAATGTTTGTACTATATTCATCTATACCACTTGACCACAATGACATCTCAATAGGCATATCATCATCCTATCACCTCTATAGTAACTACATAAAGCATGACCTCTTTACACTTGTTCTCGATGATAAAAAAAAATTAAATTTATTAATAAATAAAAATTCATCAAAAATATATATAATGCATAAGAACTAAAGCAGTTTGTTATAATTATGCAATGACAACCAAGTTCCTGTAAAAATCAGTCATGTTAAAATAAATATTTTATATCACAGTCAAAGAACAACACTCGGTAAATCAGTAATTCAAAGACATTTTTCCTTGTTAATGAATTTAAACTACACTCCACATCCTGGTAATAATACGACCATAACTGTAATATTGTTCTTTGCCCCAGCAAGCAAGGCAGCTTGAACAAGATGTTCTGCCATAGTGCGTGACAGGTCCCTCTGAAACTGATCCCTAGTCATAGAGGGATTATAATTAGACAGACGAGAGTTACTAGGCAGTGACAGGAAGTCACCATATGTCTCCACATCAGCCTCATTTCCAGATTCCTCATCATATGGACCAACATGGCTGCCATTTTCTGTCTTCATATCCTCATCAGAATTGTTTTTCTCTATATCTATCATTGTGGAGGCCCGGGGGGACATCTTTAGGCGGTCGTCTGCTGGTTCCGAGAAGGACACTCTCCGTGGGGTCTGGGTTATCAACGAAATGTTGGCCTGACTGTTAGACTCCTCTATTAATGGCCTAAGAGTGGTGCTTATTTTACTTGGGGCTGGGATAAAGTTGCTAGGGAGTAACTGAAAACATCAGAATAAGTTTAAGTCAATTCTTACCATAAAAAGTGATGCTTGGCATTACTGCTAATTTCATTTCATGTTTCTTAGAAATACGGCATTTTTTAATCATCAATGTAGGGATATCAATTTTACTTGGATAGCCTAGTTGAATAATCTGAGTCTTTAGACAAGCTATAGTTGAGTACTCATAAAAATAATTTTTCTCATCATGTCCTTTTAAGACTGCTTGTACACTCAATATTTACATCAAACTACCATATATACAATGTGTTTTTCAATACGAGTTCTTACTTAGTAGGCATACACGTTCTACAAAGTATCTGAATTAAATTTTTTGTACCACATATTTTATCTAAATAAACTTTATCAAATACTATGGTTTGACATTTTTTCTCACAAACTAATAAATATAAAGCAATCACCTGATGCCATTTAAAAGTCTTTTTCCAGCTAAATTATTGACCTGTGACTTGTAAATAGTTAAAAATGCTATAAATCTTAATTATGCAATTTTGTGTAAATAACAAATCCAATATACATAGACATCCCTAATCATACTGAGATCAAATTACCTACGGTATATTATCTGATAACTTTTCACATTTCTCAAATTTATTAACTTCCTTAATTTTTAATTTTTATTTTAAAGTGCGTAAAAAAGTTTTGATTAAAATACATGCCTGATACATAAAATTTAAAAAAAATAAATAAATAAATAAAAGTTACATATTAATTTGTATGTACATCTGTTCTATGGTTGATCATACCTTCAAAAGTAGGTTAGCAGCCTCTGTCTCAGAGAAAACTTCCCAGACCCCATGAGAGGCTAGCAGCAGAAACTGACAGTACTGGTCCACTGCGACTGACATAGTGTGTGGCTCCACAATAACACTGTTCTTAAGCACCACATCACCATGGTTACCAAGTCCTCGTGTGGTGGCTACCACTCCACTTACCCTCATTTCCCTCTCACTCAGACTTATGTCTGCTCCTACAGAACATCATAATAGACTACTAGTACTTGTATATAGGACTTATGTCTGCTCCTACAGAACATCATAATAGATTACCAGTACATGTATATAGTTGGGACATTTGCCTTTTATTTTTGACCAAATGCATGCAATATACTGTATTTGTACTTTTAATAGTGGGCTTCATATTTTAGCCGCTTCAGCGCAGCCAAAGATGTGCTAATTAATGAATACCGTTAATAAATCATTAATAAATACAATTCATGGTGCAGACATGTGTAGCGCTATTTCATGATTATGCCAACCACTCAATACCCACTGATTGCCCTAAATTTTGAATATGCCAATTTATGTACATGTACAGTAATAATTTCCTCTTGTTTAAAATTTGGTTGCCATATGCTGTTTTTTCTATGTTAAAGTTACAAAACCTTTTTAAAATTCACCTATCAGTATGTTTGAAAATGCAAATAAGAATTGGGAAAAAGAGAATATAATTAACAACAACAAAAGTTCCCAGTTCACCTGAGAGAAAAAAGCCCAAGATTAAAAGTAATTCTACCACTGCTTTAATACTGTAGCATTGTGCTGCATCATAGTAACCCATGTAAGATGGCAATATTTAAAGATTTTCATAGGCTGAAAAATCTTTGCTAGCATACCTTGTATATGTATCTCTCTGTATAAAGCAACAATGATATACACTGTACTATAGTACAGTTAGCTGAAATTTTGGACTTTAATTGTTTGTGTATGTGCCAAGTTTTTAGTAAAAAAAAAATATCAAGCGCATGTTACAATAGAAAATGTTACTGACCTGCTTTAATGACCCGATTCTTTTCCTTCTCATTCTGTGGTGTATGGTCCTTTGTGAGTTTGTATGCCCTGTTTCCTCTAACCAGTACACCATGGACATTTCCTTATTCACCATGAAATAAATCAATACATTTATACAGATTATATCAAGAAAAAAATTACAAGGAAATGAAATGTATATCTACAGCAAAGTGTTTTTGTGGTGATGTAAAAACAGCAATACATGTACTTATACATGTCCCAGTGCATACCTGCATTGGCTAGGTAGATCATGCCCATTTCCCGTGGTGGATCAAAGCCCATGGTGCTGGCTGGCTGTGATTGGTCCAATTTGTTCTCAAGCGTAGGAGGGCGAGACATGTAAATGTCAGTTTTTCTTTCCTCGTCTTCCTCTGCCACTGGAGAAATTGGATTCCCAGACTGCTCCATCTTATCCCCACCTTGTATAACAACCGTCAATGCCGAACAACCACTCCACCTGACCTTTGACCTTTCATCTTTGCCATATGACAATAAGATGTCAGTTAAATAGTAAGACTTGGCAAGAGCAGACTCCATTTTGACTGTAAAAGGTGCCTTTTGTTTCTTTTTCTTGTTTTCTTTCTGTTCGTTGTCTTTTTTGGCAGACTTTGTGGCCCTAGGAGTGATGAGTTCTTCATACTTGTCTTCACACATGTTAATGATCTGCTGAACAATATCCACACTACTCTCATGGAGGACTGCACGCTCGCTCTCCTTGGTGTCAGGACGCTCAAATGAGTACTACAAAAAAAAACATCAATCTTCACACAAGATTTTTATAACATATAAATAAAGGAGAAATATATATATATATATATATATATATATATATATATATATATATATATATATATATATATATATATATATATATATATATAATGTCTATTATTCAGCTTGTTGCTGAATAGTTTTGTACAACTGGGGAAATGTTGCTTCATTTTATTTTTACCTTTTACACACTGGTTCCAAATGGGTGAATTTAAAATAGACCAATTTTACAGTCAACTTCAACCTAGACAGCTTCAAGTATAATGATTCAAGGCGAATTTAAAAAGAATGCATTTAGTTGAAAAAAACTTGGAGAATTTCTTTCTTTCTTCCTTTCTTTTCTTTTCTTTTTTTTTTATTTCCAAGAAATCACTAAATAAACACAGGAATGAATAGCCTTCAAATGCAGCAGTTATAAATGAATCCAGTACTTGTACGAAAATAGAGTACTATATAAACACACACCTGTGAGACATCAGTAGTGTCCAAGACATTTGTAGCTGTTGTGGATTTGGTCTTGGGATCAAACTTTGACATCTCATTGAGCAAAAGATGGTGGAGCTCAGCAGCAGCCATATCTGCAGCAAATCTCCCATGGTAGCCATCAAACAACCCAAAATAACACTTATGTCTGTCATCTCCAAAGCAGTCTTGGTAAACTTTAGTGTCTTCCATGTAACTCTTCCATCTAAAATGAGAATAATACCCTACTGAGAACATATGAAGAACATTTTTTTTCCAAGTTAAATTGTTCTGAGCAAATTAACCCTTTCACCCTCAGTAACAAATTGAAAAACAAATTTGTTCCATTTAAAAAATGCATAAGAAAAGCTATACAAGAAAAAAAATCTGTCTGAGTATTTTCTTTCATAGTTTGACCTGAAAGAATTTATTTCTAACAATTTGAGAAGATTTTATACCTATCATTCTGTGCAGAACACATGCCAAGAGCAAACACACAAGAAGGGCTACAGTTGACTGCCACACCGCGGACGTCTGTGTTTATCTCCTCTCTGTTCTGGCGCTCCAGTTCAAACGTACCCTAAACATTCCATCAAAATTGTCAATATCTACTTTATATCACATATTTACACATCATTTGAAACCATGCATGTAAAATTACACTTTAGAATATATACAGTATACATGTACTACAATATATGCAGATATGCAGAGCATTGATGTTTCATTGACTGTCCTGGCAAAAATTTTTCATGATCTACAGTTATTAGGGACAATTTCATGATCATTTTAAAATCCCTTCAGAAGTTAGCAAAAGTAAAAAAAGAAAAATACATAGCTATTTTATCGAATAAATTCAGAATATAATGTTCTAAAAATAAAGTCAGTACTGTGTACCATTATCTATTTTGAATAAGTAAAAACCCATATACCTGCACATCAGCTTTAAGAAATTCATAAGCATCATTGAGTTCTTGAATTGCCTGGAGCTGTTTTGGTGTTTCTTTTTGTTCACGAATTTTTCGCAGTATAATTTGTCGTCTCTTTCTAAGGCCATCTATTGATGTTGGTTTATTTTTACCCTGGTATTTCATCACCTCCAAGGCATCATGGTATACCCGGTGTTCGTGCAGGGCTCTGAGATTTATGTATATTTTGCATCGATCACATCGTATTGAAATATCAGGATTGGATGGGAGTTCTGTGATATTGGTCTCAGGGGTGTCTGAAAAATATATTGGCTATGCATCATCATCAATTCTGCCAATAATTTCAATCAACAGAAAAAAGGATATGCTTGGACATTAAAGGTCACCTTATTGCATCTATATAATTTTTTTCTAAATTTCAAATTCCTCTCTATTTTTCTAGAATTTCAGTTTTATTTTATCATTAAATCTTAATTGACATTCATTTTGCTATACATGCATTCAGTGAATAGATAAACTAGTTAAAACATGATCTCCATCCTTTATCAAAATTTATTCACATGCAGCCACCTGATAAATTACCATCCAACACAGTCATACGCATGCAGAGACACAAACAGACACACAAGCATTAAGAACAACTGCTTGTAATATTACAATGAAATTATTTCCCGAAAGTTTACCGAACTTTGAAATCTGTCTATAAAATTGTAACTTACATCCATTAACTATGTACATCCATTCCAACAAATGCCCATATTTGAGTTTAAGTATCTCAATGTGTCTTTTAGCTGTCACCTCCATGACTAGACTAGATTTTCTACAAGTCTCCATAATTACACCAATTTAGTAATCAACGGCAAAAAATCAACTTATGGAGATCTCATCGAACAACCAATTTCTCTTAGGAGAGGTTCACAGAACACAGAAAAATCTCTGTAAGCTCCCATAATGCAGAAGGTTTCATCCAAACACCAAAAAAATTAATAAGTCCCCACCTTTTGACAGGTAAAATCACTTTATCACTAAACATTAACCCTGATGTAATAGCATGGATGTAGATAGAGCCCAGGCTTTGTGTACAGGTGAATCTAGGTCCAATGCAATTAAACAACCACGCAGGCAGTGTGGAATCAATTCAACCAGATTTCATTAAAAATCAATGTCAGATTATAATGTTATCCAATACAATTAACAATCCTCCCTCACCAAATTCAAACACATTTTAATTAAAATCCCCCCAAAACCTTCATGTTTTTCTTTTGTAGGATATTAAATATTAAAGTTTCATTATTGTGACATGAATATGTTTACTGTTGGGTGACTGTAAAAAGATTCTTAAGTTGTTTTTTTTTTACCCCAATTGTGGACAGATCAATTTTGAGTAAGCATGCAAAATCCATTAACTACATGTAAATATTTTTCCAAACAAAACTCCATTTTCGTTCCTTCTTTGTTATTTCCTATCAGATCTATCTATTGATCCTGTTCTAAGGAAGAATTTTTCAATATAATTCCAATCTCGATCAATGGATATGCTTTAAGGTAAGGCAAACCGTTTAATCTGTTTTCTCCATGCAATTATCACAAACAGTAGCATCCTTTGTGGCAAATGAGCAATCAGGTATAAACTCAAATTTGAAATTGTTGAAAAAACTTTTAAGAAGAAGTTGTTCAGTTCACACTAATGCAATCTTGAATAGAACCATGCATTTGATGTAAAGTCCTGATTCAAAGCACATTGCAGTTTCCCTTTGTTGAGAGATATTGTTTAAAAGAAAGTTGAAAGAAATCACTAAATATTATCAATGCATCCCATTCAATGATTCGCACCATCTGAGCATATCTACAAGCAAAACCAGTGCAACTTCACGTCACATTTAAAATCAGTCTGCACTGAGTTCTGCATGTTCTGTTTGGACATCATTTTCTACTCTTAGAATCAGCAAAGCTTCTTTCATAAAGCCCTGGATTGTTGTGATATCAGCTTTATACAACAGGAATAAAACATAAAGAAAAACGCCGAGAAGAACTGCGGTCAGGTGCCAGTCCATGTTAATGGCAGAGATCAGAGGATTCCGGGACAAAAGGACGCAGATCTGGTGTCAGAGCAAACAAAGTAAATTATGTGTGTCATGGAATTTTAAAAATAATGGGATCCAATTATAGATCTATAACTGTTCCAATACTGATGCAATTGTATTGGTTATTAAACTGGATTCCATGTTGGAGTGGGAAAAAAATGACAAAAATGTTGAAGTTTGGGTAAAGTAATCTATATAAGTCTACTATGAGTTTTATTTTATATCCATGTATCTAATGGAGATTCACTGAACAGTGAAGAGGAAATATGTTTTGATTCATTTAAAACATAATGTCAAGAGAATTCAGATACTCAGGACAATTGAGTGAAAGTTTGGAATAATTGTATTGAAACAGAAAATTACATGTGTTTGGCCTTACTAAAATAGTCACAATCTGCTTATATATTAAGCCTCACAATGGGATGAGTAAATCCCTTTGTCAAATATGGATATACTAACAACAAATTCAATGGGAATAATATCAGCTGTCTAAACAAAAACATGTAATTGTTATGTGGGTTAATTTATATCTGTCATACAAAGTGAATAATGAAGAGAAATATGTGTAAATAACTGAATGCAGTTTGTAAAATTATGCAGAAAATCAAAGTAAGTTTGATTATTACTCAATTTGGCTAAAACCAATGAAATTCATAAAACTTTAAACATCCCATTTCTAAACTTAATTGATATGCACTGTATGTTTGATTTACCAGTGCTGCATATTATTGTACACTGCATATGACATATTGTATTTTTTGAAAATCTTTTTATTATAATTTTAACTTTGTTGGCTGGAAAAAGTGTATGTGTTTGGGGTGGGGTGGGGGTGGGGGTGGGGGGTGGGGGTTATTATAGGGCTAAACTCGCCATCTCTTCAATGATAATACAGGCATGACCATAAAAACCAGGAAAAAGTATAAACTTTATTTCAGCTGATAAAGTTTGAATTAAGAAAGCTCTAAACACTATTTTTTTTTTTGGTAGAAAATTGTGAAAACTGTATCATATAATTTTTTATATATTGAGTTTATGTAGCTCATTTTGAACATAGCATACCTGCAATTATTTTTTCCAGAGATAAATGTTCAAAGACAATGAAGTATTAGTGAGTTGTTTACTTTCAATGGGAAATTACATGCAAATAATGTTTTTAATTACTAGTACTTTATCTTAGTCTAATAAAATGTTAAGAATACATTACCGGTAATCTATTTCATTTCAATTTACTGTAGTGTAGCAGAGTTAAAAGTGGCTATGTGTTGTAAATAGTGAGGCCATGCTCCTACTAGCACTAACCAGTGGGTTAACCCTTTAGCTCAGTTGGTAGAGCATTGGATTTTAAATCTGTAGATTGTAGGTTCAAGCCACAGTATGGACATCCCCTAGCTATTCGGTCATAGTAGATTTCCATTCATTCCATTTTACATAGAAAGAAAGATTACTTTAACTGCATAAAACTACCACAGAATTAGAACTCTTCAGTGACCAGTGTTTAGAGCTTCTTTAATATCTCAATAACTCGATCATTAGCCTTTTCATGATAACTGCGGTACTGATGTTTTGCAGAGCAAATTAATAATTTTTTGGTGAAGTTTTTGTTGGTAGATGTTTTTTTAATATTTATTGTAAACTTAAATCACCCCCTCCACTTTATTCCTTGTTTATTTACTTTAATATGTTAATATGACTTAACAAACCATGTTTATCTGAAAGCATGTAAGCTGTTTGTCATTATGACCTTGACAATTTAGTCACTCTTTCCCTGCATTTGGTCTTCTTTGAACTTGAATCACCCACATTACTTTACCCAAATCTCTGTCAATTTGAAATAGTCTTTTCCTTTGCTAGGTAAACAGTTTATTTGACCTGAAAACATTCATCTTAGCTAAGTGGAGCTATATGTCACAGCTTAAATTCAACCTTTTCCAATGTCTTTAGTGTTCCTGTGCTGGATGTGTGAGTTTATCCTACATGGCACATAAAATTGATCTAATAAATTTGAAGACATTTTTGTGAAATTGACAAGCGGGTTTACTTCTGTCCTCTCTAAAATCACCTCATTTGTAGAAAGTATTTCTCTTCCTGGTCTGCAAGATTTATTATTTTAATATTCTTTCCTTTAATGTCATAACCTTGACCTTACCAGATTAATAGACAAAAAAAAAATAACCTGATTAAATGGTTGCAAGCTGAAAGAAGCTAGCTATTTTCATTCTAATGCAATTTCACACAGCAAAGAAAGAAGCCCCTGTTTCATGACCTATGTTAACTAACCAGCAAAAACAAAGTTCTACATACTTAGTATAGTAAAGAAAAAATCTCATATTTTGTGCAATATAATATATTCTATGAATTAATAAATGTACATGATTTTTTTTTTCAAAGTGATTTCACTTTGATAATGACAAGCTCCATCATATAATGGCATATGTAAACTCCAATAAAACACAGATAAATCAAACATGCTTATAATGAATTCATGGTTTATACAAAAAAGCAATTTTCATCATCCCCCAAGGTATTAAAAAGTACTGTAATCTTAATGGATATGGTGAATTACATTTATAATGAATCAAATTCTTCGTCGGATGTGGCACTTTGTTCTAAGCCTGTTTTACTGCTTAAAGTACTTGCAAAACTCATTTAACAACATGAAATTTCCACAAATTAGCCAATCGGAATACACACTTTCTAACAGTTACAAGAGAATTTAATTTTGACCTTACCTGATCTGTAGATATTCTCCCCCTTAGCTGGATGTGTGGGTTGTTCTTCCTCCTCATCAAATCTGTCCGAGTACTCATCCTCCGTTGCCTCTTCAAACATAGGGGTAGTTTCCTTGTCTATTGATGTCATGACTGAGCAATCAAATGCTTTCAACCTGAGGCTGAAACCTTAAGAAAAGATCAGATTCACAATTCAATTTTTGTTTTCTTACAAATTTACATATGAAGCTTCAACTCAACATGTAATGAAAATCTTTCCAATTTAAGTGAAAAATTCTGACATGTTTGGCTATTTATACTAAATAATAATACAAAAGATCGAAAGACTGATAATATACAATATGTTTACTAACTTTAGCTGGATTCTTATCTCTGAACCATAGTGAAAAAAAAATCATGATCAGACCATCCTTAAAAAAAATTCTTTGCCCTTTCCCAACTGACTCAAAACTTTTTTTGAACTTCAGGAAACAATTTTTTTTAATTCAATCCTAAGTTTTCTCATCCAATTAATAACTACAGTCAAACCTTGTTATCTCGAACTCAATGGGACCAAGAAAAAACTTTGAGATATCCAAGGATTTGAGATATCCAGGGTAAAGTACTTGAGGAATAAGGGGTTGGGACTTCCAAATCACTCTGACATATCCATGGTATTCGAGATATCAGTGTTACCAGAAAGTTCAATTGTATTTTAACCTGTATTGATACCAAAGTTCAACTGTATTTTAACTTCACGTTCGCAAGTGTTTTTGAATTTTAAAAAAATTCCAATACTTGATATCGCGATTATATCTTTATGGAACTCTTTCGCAGTGAAGGTAGGAAACGTCTGTTAGCTGGGGGCATTGTGCTGTTACATACAATGCGAAATCGAGCATTGTGGATTTCTAAAGGGCGAATATGAAAGAATTCCTGGTGAAATATCTTGCAGAACATTCGCTGAACCACACCTATAAATTTTAAGAGAACCCAGTCCTCAAGTGTTACATTTTTATTGATACTTTTTCAGTAAGCCGACCGCTCTTCTAATTAAATTCTACCATTTCTTTCTGATTATCATTACTTTTGGAAGCTGATTAAAAAATCTAAACATTCCAAATAAGACAACCTACTATTTAAAGTTCAACCCTTTGCAATACATTGTACTTTCGACATACTAATTGTTCAAATCATTCGATTGTCACTAGAATAAGTAATTCATGCCCCAAAAATCTTGCGAGATTAAGAGTTTCCTCGACTTCACCGCAAAAGAGCAGCATCAAGTTAGATATAACTGTGAGGTAATTGTGATACAAAGTATTACCTACCTACCCAATTTCTTTATCCTTAGTCAGGAGAGGACAAGCAAATATTTTTTTAAAAAATAGTCTCACTTTCAAAATATTTTTCAACTTAGTTTTAAAATAAAAGAACACTGAAATTGCTTATTTATGCAACAGACATCATCATTGCATGATATGCAAGTACATATACAGTTACTGATGTAAAGAAAGGAGAAGGGAAACGCAATGCACCAAACCAGGATTTGAACCCTGGCCCAGTTAATCACTAGTCAGGTGCTCTACCAACTGAGCTATCTAGCCATCAATGATTGAACCCATCTGACCATCACATTCCTTCATCCTTAAAAGTCTTTGCCCTGAAGACACCACCCAGGCTCTTGCCTCACAGATCTCTCACCTGTAACTTCCTGGGCATGGTCAAGGCACCAAACGTAACAGAAAAGGAGAAAAATTTGACGGACCAGACAAGGAATAAAACCAGGTCCTTTGATTCATGGCATGGCACCAAATGTAACCAGCAAGGTAGAAAAATGTAACAGACTAGACCAGGACTTAAACCTGGGCCCCCTGACTCGCTATATAGTCAGTTGTTCTACCAACTGAGCTATCAGGCCACCAGAAATTGAACTGTCTGACCACCACATTCATTCATCCTTAAAGGTCTTCACTCCTGAAGACTTCAACCCAGGCTCTTCTCTGGCAGGTCTTTCACCTGTTCACTTTCTGGGAATAGTCACAGCACCAAATGTAACAGGAAACACTGGCGGATTTAAGGGGGTGCGTGGGGGCGCACGCCCCCCCCCCCTAAAATTTTCAAAGTATGATATGACTAATATTAATAATGCCATACTTTGGTATATAACTAACCAATACCACTATTTTTGTGCCTAGTTTTACTCTTAAAATGCACGAAAACCCAGGAGCTTCCGGGGGCTTCGCCCCCTGGGCCCCCTCTATTCAAAGTATGATATGACTAGTATTAATAATGCCAAACTTTGGTACATATAAACTAACCAATACCACTATTATTGTGCCTGGTTTTACTCTTAAAATACACGAAAACCCAGGAGCTTCCGGGGGCTTCGCCCCCTGGGCCCCCTCTATTTAAAGTAAGATATGACTAGTATCAATAATGCCAAACTTTGGTACATATAAACTAACCAATACCACTATTATTGTGCCTGGTTTTACTCTAAAAATACACGAAAAAACCCAGGAGCTTCTGGGGGCTTCGCCCCCTGGGCACCAACCAGGGCTTCGCCCTGGACCCACTGGGGGCCTTAAGGCGGCCCCCAGACCCCCTGCCTAAACGAAATTATCCACGCCCCCCCTAATCACAAATCCTGTATCCGCCCATGGGAAAGGAGAAAAATGTGATGGACTAGACCAGGATTGAAACCAGGGCCTTGAGTCACTAGTCAGGTGCTCTACCAACTGAACTATCTGGCCACCAGAAATCGAACCTGCCTGATCGCCACACTGAAATTATGAAATTCGACAACACATGTTGGCGCTCTCGTTTAAAGAGGTGTCTTTAAATTCATTGCTGATGCAATTTTCAGTGTATACACACTTGAAAAAATCTATCACTAATTTACCAAAATACTTTGGAAAAGGATAACATAGTATTTCTCCTAAAACCAGACTAAAATGTACAAGGGGCGTCATATCTTTTAGTGGAATCGCATATCTACAAATAATGATAATAGAAACAAATGGATAGTCTCTACGGGCTTAAGTTTCGATCGAATAATGCAGTCGGTGTTTTTCTGCGAATACAGTGGGATAAACATTTTGTCATTGAATATATGATCATCATTACTGTGAATTAAATTTATCCACAGCCCCCATAAAGTCATGTAACAATAATTAAATCGAGCACCTGCTTATCCTAGCAACAGGAAGTTTACATCCAGAGGATAAAAGACAAAACCGTAACCAGTAAAGTGTTGCCATTTTGAGGGTTACCTCCCTTAGACCACATCAGCCAAAACAACTCTAAAATAAAATTTAAAAAAATTAATAAACATTTTTATATTAGTTATTACTGGACTTGTATTGCCAATATGATTATATCATTATAAATGCATATGTCTGAGATTAGGGCGAGGCATGCAGCTCATTCGGGGGGGGGGGGGGTACCAAAAATACTTTTAAAAATTAAAAAAAATGAGGGAGGGGTTCAAGTCCTGTAATAAGAAAAAAGAAAGTATGGCTCCGGAAGGGGGTTGAAAATTGCAGAATTTTGCTGAAATATATGCAATTGCGATAATTATTTAAAGCTATATATATATAGTGAGTGTAGGTGTACATTTACACCGATTTTGAACTCGGATAATCTCACGCTTCTATAGTTAAATTGACTTTAAAACTTTGCTGTAATTGTGTTGAATATTAATAAAAATCCGCCACGATGTACATGATATTGTTAATATAACATGATTTTCTCTTTACTTCTCTCTATGTCTGCCCATCTCTTCGTTTTTTCTCTGAATCTGTTCTAACTTTCCGTAAAGTAGGCCTAATGTCACGTCTGCTTTTGTCGTTTTGGTTTGTACAGAGTAGTTCTATAGAATTCCACATACAGACCATTATTATGTACATTTTAAAATTTATTATAAATGCTTAAGTATTGTGGCATTTGCCACAAATGGCGCTTTGTTTAGCTTTTCATTTGGGTTATAAATAATTTATGTTTGGTAGAGATTGTCGAATAAGAATGACAAAGTCAGGTTATAAATGCAGTATTATGCACGCTATTCACCCAACTTTAAAATAAGATTGAGAAAAGGTCTTTTGAACGTCTTCATTTACTTTTCAATTTATAAGGAGATAATATCCTAATATTTGCTTGCGATTCATTATTACCTTTAGATGGAATTAAGAGCCAGGTATTAAGGAACAATTCGTCTTTTGCTTTAATTTTATTTTGTATGTGAAGTAATATATGTAAACATTAATATCTCTACCGATTCAAGATCAAGAAGAAATACAATAAGAATTCAAAAGGACATGAAGTAATGAGCATGTATACATATATATATATATATATATATATATATATATATATATATATATATATATATATATATATATATATGGTACAATTGAAAATCGTCGTTTTCCTTGATTCATTAGAGAGCTAGTAACGCTAAAAATATTTAATATCACACGTTCTGTTTAATTTTAATCAAGTCTAACTTTGCAAGTCTTGTTTAATTTTGATTACATGTAATTATGTTATAATGTTATAAGTAACTAAGTACAAAGCAATAATAACCCCTCATAAAATTTTAATTTTAAAAATTTTAAATTCTTTATCAACATTAAATATTCTCGGTATCCCCCCTCTCCCAAAGTCACACGAATAAACGAAGGGACTGCATATACTGCTGTTACAACACTTAAGCTCATTGAGTGACCATCCTTTTAAATACTAAATATAGGTAAAGTTTATTCCATGGTTATTGAATAATGTTAGTTGATTGATGTGTATATAATGTCCGACAAAGGACGTCCTTGATGTATAGAAAGTAAATATAAAACTGCGCTCTCAGTCCTGATAAAATGTTGGTTATTTGCAGAATTCTTATTTCTTAGTTTACTCTACTACAGATTAAATCTTTATCTCGCCAGACGCCATGGCAATACTTACCATAAATTTACATTATTGACGTGTACTATGTTCAATGTAATTGATGACCCAAGTACGAAAAGGTACCATCTGAATTTTCAAGGTTATCCATATAACCCTTTTTTTGTTTCATTTATACATGTAAGCACTTTGATGAAATGAGTTAGAAACACGTAAAAATGAACTCTTATACCATTTCCCTTTTGTGGACCCCCGAAACTTGTACTTTGAAATACATT